AATAATAAAAATCAATATTTGTTTAAAATATTTTAAAAACCACAAAAAAATTATTAATTATTTTAATTGAATCCACTTAATCTTTTAAAATAATTACATTTAACATTGATTTTAAAAATATAATTTGTATTAAAATGATTATTACTATTTTTTTAAATATATGAAAACACTAAAAGCATTTTTGGTGTTATAATAAAAGCAAGCTTAGTGCCTAAAAACACATTAAAACAATAAAATATCTATATTTAGATTCATATTTTAAAATTAAATTATTATTTTTATTATTTGGAAAAAAGTTTAATATCTTGGAGAATAACAATAAATATTGAGTCAAAGTATAATAACTTGAAGAATAATGTATAGAATTGTGTGGATGTGTTCAACAATTGAAGTGAGATTTGTGAGCAATGGTGGTATTGGTAGTGTTGGTGGTGTTGGTAGTGATGTGATTGTGTGTAAAACAAGTGATTGTGGAATTTTTTATTAAAAGACTTACAGCAATAACTTTTAAGTTGAAAATAAGTGCGATTAAGGTTTTATGAGATATTACCACATGTCTGCCTCCACTGTTTGTCTCCGTTGCGATCATTTCTTTGCCAGAATATCGTGTAATAGAGATTCAAATCTTTTGGTATTGAGTAGAGAGTGTTGTGAACAAAATATAAGCACATTATTATGATAGTCGAGCAAATCATATACTCATATACACAACACGTCTCTTACATTGTAAACCTTTGAAACAGTGTTTTCTCTTTGAAATCCTATCATTTAAAATATGCTATTATCTGACAGGGAATGGATTACTAGTATTGCACTTTTGCCAGTTTGTCTGCCGTTCCTTAAGCCCGGTTCGTGCCTTTAGTCTCAGTTCAACACATAACACATATAACTTACTGTTGAGTATTGGGTCTATGGTATACGGAATATTGCAATCTATATGTTATGTGTGAGGTATATATCCATAGTGTAGTATAATTTAGCAAATAATACCATATATGCTATATATTGTATTTATATATAAATACTGTATATCGATATCTAGTGTACGTATTCTGTATTCTATGTGCTATACTATGCGCCACACATTATCCTATGCTATTGTTGAGCGAAATGCCATCAAAAGCACATACAGTATAGTAGGCAACTCCGATGGCTGCCTGTGCCGTGATTTTATGAGTTGTATCGCCGGCGCAACAACTTATTCATTCATTCAACTTATTTTATGTTCACTAAAATCACTCTACAATACAATGGATTATTAGAGATTAATGCTTTAATATAGCTTTCACTACAAAATACATATCATATCATAATAATAATGTCTATTCTATCATTCAATATATCTCTGCTATTATTGAATTGTGTCAACAAGTGTTACACAATTCACAAAAAGTAAATTTATATTAAGTCATAAAACTTAGTTAATGTTTGACTATAAAAATCTATGAAATGTATGAAAGATTTACTTAGAGATTGCATCGCCTTTTCAATTCAACTGTAGATTTATGCGGGCATACAGTATGTCATTGCAAAAGCATGTTTGATCCCTGTGCTCCTTACAGGCACTGATGCTTCTTATTAGTCTGTTTTATAGGCGTCTCTCGTTATATAAGTATTAACCAGAAGTATCATCACATGAGCGCTGAAGGATTGCAATGGAAATGGATGTAGAGTTAAGGCCAATATTCAGTGCCAAAGGCTCTCTCTCTCTCGCTCTCTCTCTCTCTCTCTCTCTCAATATTTTTCGTCAGAAGTTTTTGTGCGTAAATTCATATAAAGCAGAGAATAGAGAGTACAGTTAGACTAGAGTCTGGAGTAGAGTTCAATCTATTGTGAAGTTGTTTGGAGTCCTAAATCTCGTAATCAGTGAAAGCCGTCAGTCAGACACCAGAATCTCATCAGTACTTCCACTCATCCAATACATCCAATGCCTCAACTGTTGCTGTCGTAAGAAAACGACTGCAAAAAAGCAGTCCATAAGAGAAGATAAACACCGGATTCTATCCTTTTGCTTGGCATGTGGTCACTGGTGAAGACCCCTGTAGTCATATAAACGGCATCACTGGCATTGATAATAGGGCTCAGACTCTATGATTCACAACACCTGCTGAGCCACTCTTTGATCCAATAATATATTCAATACAAAAATTTCACATTTAATGAGAAACTGTTTCTCATGTTTAGTGCAAACATATTATTTATACATTGTTTTAAGCGAATTGATTTTTATGTATAAAAAAGTTTATATTTTTCACGTCAATTTGAGTTAGAGTTTAGATATTGTTTGTGAGAGGAATTCACATTTGGCTAACAGTGCCAACAGTGGTAACAGAGCTAACGGTGCTAACTGTCGGCATTCACTTGATTGGTATTGTTGTGAAATACGAAGGAATTCCAAGGTTTTCATAGCTTTTTATCCTTAGCTGACATTATTTTGACAATTCCTTCATATTATACAAATGCAGCCAATTATTAAAGGCACACTGCAACGGGAAATTGCAATACTTTGCTATACTTTGCAATAGTTTTGTTTGATATTATGATAGAATGATTATATGATATAATAAAAGCTGTTGTGTTGTGCAGCACTTGTATCACGAAAACAGACACTACTATACAGACGGCTATACTGTAGATATAAAAAGAAATACAAATATTGTTATATTATTTTAATATCTCACATATTTTTGCGTGTCTTATGTTGTTTTATATCACTAATGCCACTAATGTCTGTCCACCACAACTGAGTCCACCATTTCTTCCGATGCATACGATTCGTGACTAATATAACGATTGCTTAAAAGATTTCGTGCCATTCATACCAAAACGCTAAACATTTTATTACAAATTAGTGATAAAACATACTTTAAATCTTAAAATTCAAATGTCTTTCGATTTATTGCTAGTTTTGCTAACATTTATAGCAATCTTACAAATGGATTGATTTATTTTAAATCAAAACTACATTTAAGTAAAATCACAGTAAAACCAATAATAGTACAAACATAAAACGGTTTATAGCTACAAAATTAATACAAAATACATTTGATTTTAGGATATCTTTCATATTCTTAAACTTTAATACTTGCAATAAATCATTTAGAAATTTATACCTACAATAATAGGCAAATAGTGAGAAGTTTGATAAAAAATATAACCCAAAAATGTTCAATCATTTACTCTTAGATATAAATGGCGGTCAAATTGCAATGAATTGTCTTTATTTTGGGGGTAAATAAAAAATAATGAATTCAGAGGAAAGAAGAGAAGATATGTTCCGATTTCAGCAAAAGGATAACTCTTTGGACTTCACTCTAAAGCCTTGAATGCAAGCGATATATCATTCTTAGGGTGGAAACCCTATCAAATACACTACTAATCCATTTCATAAGCACTGATTTCTATTGAATTTAATGATTTTTAATTTTTCATAAATTCGCTAAAAATATAAGCAACTTAACTTTTTGAGATGTTTTTTCAATAACTTATTATTATATCAGATAAATGGAGACTGTATTAAAACTTAATTTTTTGTTTGAACAATATCCAAAAATAAATACTCTAATACAATAATTATATTAGAGTTCATAAATGAATTAAAAATTCGTAATTATAATTATAAAAGAAATTTTAATATATTTATAAAATAAAATAATTTAATAATTTATTATAGTCGAAAACATAATTTTCTATTATGTGGCCACAAAAAAATTATTGAATGTGAATATATTCAAAAGTGAAATAATATTTTTTTTAATACATTAAAGAAATAAGGATTGACATGAGCTCTGGTAATAAATTGGTTGTATTACTAACAAAATAATAGCTTTGGGAAAATACTGCATAAATTGTATACAATATGCTTCATATGAATATTAGCTCGAAATAGATCTAAAACACACATTTGGGAAACTTTATAAAATTTCCCTTATTATGAATACTTGAAAATAAGAGAAAAAGGGCTCAAATTTCTCTAAATGTTTATATAAAAAATATATACATTTTTTAAAAGTTATAATTATAGAGTGAATTGAGTCAATCTTTTGTTAATATTTTTAATACAGATGTATGTATTATTGTATTTTGTTGATAAAAAGACAATTCACTTCATTTACATAAATTTAGTGATATTACAAATGCTATATATTATACAAAAGTTATAATTCTTGTCAACGAATGAGTCTTTAATGGGAACACTATTTATATGTATATATAAGATAAGAAATGCAATGTTTAAACGTAAAAAATATCTCTGAATTCATGATTGTTGAATAGTCTACAATAGTCTAGAATTAACTTTGAATTTTATATATCTGTTACATTTGCCTCCAAATTTCATAGATTTATTCTGTTTTGTATATTATTCTTTCAAATTACTGTTAAGAAAGGTTATTTTTCTATGAATTTTCATTAATACATAATGAGATTCATTAGGATTTTCTTTGCAATTTATTCAGTTTTAAGTTTTACTATTTATTTATTAATTTGTTTTTAGATTTATGTTAAGAATCCTCTGAAAAGAGAGATATATTTTAAGTCTTTCATATATACATAATAATCAATACGAGAGTGTCTTTGAATTGTTTATATTTGATGTTAATATAATTTAACAGCTTTTTAGTGCAACAAAAGCCAAAAGTTTTCAAATACAGCAAACATTAATCTTGATTATAGACTCCACTCATAATTCTTAATATTTTTATTCTCGGATCTTCTATCGACTCGAATATTAAAATCAATTTTAAGCATTAATTATGATTTAAAATATTGACTTTTGAGCCGAGAATCGATTCTCGTTTTTCTTTCTTTAGATCATTTTATGGTGAAATCAATTTTATAAGTTTTTTGTGTTTGAAGAGTTTAGTGGCAATAGTCAAGTAAAGTAATATTAATATATAAAACACTCGACAAAATGCGAGACATGAGTCGAGAGGCAGTCAAGAAATTGACTCAATATTCATGAGAAACCTGTTGTTTAATGTTTTATATAATATTATATAATGGCGTATATTCTTGAACATCATATTAATACATATGATAGCAGTATAGTAGCCAATGATATATTCTTCGTTGTGTTTCATGTATTAAAAGCAGAATAAAAGTGTTCACAGAATAAGTACTATAATAATAAACTATTGTCTGATATTGAGTTTATTTATTGAATAAATAATTTGCTTTTGTGTTCAGATTGTTTAAAGTGTTTCCTTTGACTCTTACTCTGAATGTCTAACAATTATAGGATATATTCATCGACAAGAAGTACACGACAAGAGCTCAAGTCATGAAACATCGATTGCTGACGAGTCCGTAGAGGAAAGGGAATTGGATTTAAGCAATAAAAGGGGCAATAAATGTATGACCAATTGCTCACAACTATCACCACAAGCACCAGTCTCTCCACAACGACCCGAGTCCTCGGCCTCTACCCTCTCGTTATCGTTGAACAGCACTGGAGTCGACGACTCCAACGAGAATGTGTGTCCCAAGTCTAACTGCACCGTCAGCTATACATACGATGCCTTTTTCATCAGTGATGGCCGATCCAGAAGGAGAAACACGTCGAGTGTCTCGTCAGCGCCTCCACCACCCGAGCACAAGGAGAAGGCGCGCTATACGTGCACTGAATGCGGCAAACATTACGCCACTTCTTCCAACCTCTCGCGACACAAACAAACGCATCGAAGCCCTGACTCCCAGTTGGCCAAGAAGTGCCCGACCTGTTCAAAGGTCTACGTCAGTATGCCTGCCCTCGCTATGCATGTGGTGAGCCATTCAGTCCATACATTGCCATGAATTTCGCTGCAAACAAGTCTTAAATTTTCTATTTATTGCCCAAATTGTGTTCAATTTGATAGCTAACACATAATCTCAGCCATAAGTGCGAAGCCTGTGGTAAAGCATTCTCGAGGCCATGGCTTTTGCAGGTATGCAGTGTTGGCCTTACATATAGTGCACGTCATCTGCGAATTAATGTACAACTGATTTAATAAATCTTAACCCATCGTAGGGTCACATGAGGTCTCACACGGGAGAAAAGCCTTTTGGGTGCGCACACTGTGGAAAGGCATTTGCTGATCGATCAAATCTGAGGTACAAATTATAAGCTATGCATTCATAACAAAACAGTTTTTCCTTTAAAATGCATTTCTCTTTCAATCAACTAATGCTCGCATAATATCCATGCGTCCAATAAATATGCGTTTAGAACATAGCATTGAATTATGGATTTGTATTAATGAGTAAATTATATGTATGTCTGTTAGGGCTCACATGCAGACCCACAGCGCATTCAAGCACTTCCGATGCCAGCGATGCAACAAATCGTTTGCATTGAAGTCCTACCTCAACAAACACTATGAGTCATCCTGTTTTAAGGACTCCACGTCTATGCCCGCCAGTCCTAACTCATCGCTATCACCGGCGCCCACAACATCACGTACTAACTCTCCCCGATCCCTACATGAGCCCCACAGTCCGTACTCACCTGCAGATCATTCACCTCTTATACTCAACCAAAGCGATAACAACAGCAATAGTAGCGGCGCATCCCATTCCAGTGCTAAGCATTACGAGTCAGTAGTGGGCCCTCACTGTCAGTCATTCACGCGTTTGACTCATCGCTCATCACTAGATATGAAACTCTAATTAATGCAAACATAATGTTCTAAACGCCAGTCTTTGCTCCCTATCTCTGCTTCCTTTTTACTGCCGACTACTCTCGAAATGCGAGCAATAATAGTGAAAAAGTTGTGCAAAATTATGTATTATTTAAGAATCAGCGCTTGATTTCATCCATTAGCCAAACGCAAGCAAATAATGTGAGTTAAGGTGTAATAACACATAAACTATGAAAAAACTAAATTACATTAGTGTTGCATAAAAACATTTTACTACTATTTCTGTGTTTTTCTTGTGCTTATAGTGAGTGTATATATAACGAAATCTTTAAAACAAGACGTGCCTCATAGGCTCACAGCCTCTTAGCCTCATAGGCTTATAAGCCATACATAGTTTGCAGTCATAGCTAACTCTCCTTTTAACTTAACGCTGAGTTTTTTGTACGAAAAAATTTACGATTATTATTATTATTACGATTACTATTAGTATTATTATTACTCTTATAGATATACAGTACGTATAGCACAATACAGTATTGCGTATCTGATTTGTGAGATAAACTGTATTAGGAGTACAACACTAGCTCTCTATGTATTTGTATTATAGCCCAACTGTACTGTAAAGTAAGTTTCATTAGTCTTATCTTTTATCTCATTCATGGCGTATAACTTATTCTTCTTCTTCTTCGTTGTATCCCTTCTTAACTGACTCTCACTTTCATTTGTGTCCAAAATTGATAAGCGATAGACTATAGTCAGTACTACACAGCACTGGTAGCACTAGTAGGCACTGGTTGCTGGAGAGCAACAATTCCTGAGACTAAACAAATGTTGCACTCATCCTCATCTCAAATATCGATATAAAAAACCTTTGAGTTATACTTTCACTTGTATTAAGCGCTTACTGTTATATCAAATATAGAGGTTTTGTCTGAAAAACAAACTCATTTTCGTCTACAGCTAATACGGGTGGAGTTGATATCTCTGTCCCCAGACTGTAGGCCCATCCAAACTGTAATGCAATTTTCATACAAAGTTCGTGTTTATGCGGTTCACTAGCGGTACTCATAATACTAATAGTGATTGCATTGTCTACGGGTGCCACCAACTCGTGGACAGTCATTACCGTTCATATGAACGCGAGCTTTGCTTTTGTCTCTCTTTCTCTTTAACTATTGAGTGAATATTCATCACAAAAATATTTAATTCACAACATATTTGCATTTCATATTACAATTGATTTCTAGTCTATAATTAGTCATTTTTAAAAATGATTGTTTTGGCGATTATTATTATATTATATAAAGTTTGCGTTACGTCTCAATCAAGAGTTTAGAAATTTATTAATACTAAGAGTAAACATAACAGTATATAAAGCATAGAATAAATATATTTTATTATTTATTTGGTAATAAAAATTGTTGCAAATATTATAATATTTATCTGAGATTAATAACTCTTGTTTATAAATCTCCGATTCTATTGCTTTGTTTTCACTACCGGTTTGGTATCGATTACTGCATTATATTCATCCCATACTATCCAACATTTGTAAATATCAATTCATATATGAATACAAATATACAGTAGTATTAATACTCACAGAATATACTCATATGTATGCGATTAATTGATACGACAAAATTACTGTATATCTATATTCAGCCTATTATTCCTTAACATTATATAATTAATTGACTCATTAATTCAAAATATGATTGTCTCTACTATCATATGAATTGAATGAATGTCTGTATGGCTGGGCATCGGATGCAATCAATATAGTCATTGAATAATTGAATCAAAATTATAATTTTTATTTCTAATACCTTTTATAGCAATAATTGAGCAAGAATATTTATATTTAGTTAATATCCCAAAAGGATCTCAAAAAATAATTGAAATTAACGATATTTTGATAAAACGAAACAAAATCTCAAAATGTGGTCATCTCTGCCAGTCTTGCAAACTTTGAAGTGAAGCCAACATTAATAGTAATAAATGAGCAAGTTATTTGTGCAATAAATATATAAATTCATTGTAAACTGAATTGAATGGTGCGTACAATTAGACTATCATATGACAAATATATCGCAAAATGACACAATTTAATCATTAATATAATGCTTCCAGTTTTGTATTTGATTTCAAATATATTTCAAAATGTTTTGACAAAAAATTATTTTCAATCTAAAATCAATTCAATATTACAATCAATTGTCGCGTTTTGTTTGACTAAAAGCCAATTACCAGTCTTTTCAATATTATATTGAATTGAGTTTACAATAGATTTGAGTGAAACTAATAATTGTGTGAAAATTTAATTCAATAAATAGTTTATTGTTTGCAACTAATCATTTATAATGTCTATCATTGGTTTGAAAGTAACAATAAATTTATATATATTCAAAGATTTGAATGAAATGACAAATAAGTCGTTCAATAATCAATCATTTTTGAAACTATGCACCTCTTGATTGCAAACTATGAGTTTAGACATCAATCAATCATATAATAATACTGTAGTATATTTAGTGTACAACAAATCATTTATTAATTTATTTAAATGTTAAGTCATTGAATGAATTGTATTCTTATTAAAAAAGCAAAATTAAATCATTATTTCCTTTAATAGGCATTTCTTTTGCATCAAAAATAAATTTAGTTTTAATCATTTATTAAATTTTTATAAATCTAAATAAAATATTTTTAGAAAAGTATAACAAAGCGAAACAAAAATAAAATTCAAACAAATACTTATGAATAGATGGTTAAAATTATTGATTGCAAACATTGAGATTACAATTCATTCAATAACTAATGAGTTTCTATTTTGAAAACAGTTTTGAAGTGAATATCAAACTAAATGATAATATGTGTTAAAAATACAATGGTTTTTATGCATCCTTTAAATAAAAAACTCAAATTATTTGAACAGAAATATATGTTTGAATTCCTGATTAAGTGTGAAGGAATTCAAAGGAATATTCTGTGGATAATAATCATTCTGAGAGCAATAAATTGATGTACAGGTAGTTTGGAGTGAATATATTATAGCAATGAACAACAAATACAGTCATTCTGTTGTTGTTCTCAATAATAACGAGTATAATAACAAATAATAGTAATAATTACTTCTTTAGTCTAATTATTTTTATTTTTAATGTATATATAATACTATAAGAATGTCATTATTAGAATATTTTATTATGTAATGTATTCTCATTTGTCTACTTAATCAACACTAAAATTAATTTAGAAAATGTATAACTTATTCATTGTTTTAAATGATAAGCTTTGGTAATAAAGGCTTTGAAATATAAAACTATTGTAAATGATGCGAATATTATAATTACAGTAAACGACAATCTATACAAACAATATTAAAATGAAATATGAATTGTAACTATCATTTATTGAAAACAACAAAAAAATGTCAAAAACACTAAGCAATTCATGGTTTAATTGTAAATTATTATGCATTTTTATTTGAATTATAAGTTATGATTGCTATTTGAAAATAATTGTAATTTTGAAGTATAATCTAAGTTATGAAATATGATATTATAATCTAATTTTTAGTAGTTATTTGATAAAAACTATTGACAATTGTATGAATCGGTTGATTGATATGAAATAAAGAGAAATAAGTGAAGAGAAGATTTGTTATTATATTAAATGAATGGAAAGGGAGGAAAGGGAGGAAAGGGAGAGCAAAAATAGCAATAATAATAATCGAAAAGATTTATTTATCTTTTTGGGACATATATAATGATTTGATGGCCAGAGTATGGATTGCCAGACATAGGAATTAGTTTTTTGTGACCATAGCCTGCACTGGTATTTAAGAGTGATTTAATGTGCTTATAATAAGAGGTTTAACTAGAATTTATAGCATCTCTTTAGAAAATTGTTGCATTCGCTCATAATCTAGAGTTATATACGATTGTAATAACACAGACATCATATCATTTCATCATTCATTTGTATAGATATGTCCACAATATTACACACTATTATGATACAGACACTGGCAAACTGGCAAATGTGAAAACATAGGCGCTCTCTATAACTACTTTTATTCTTGTTTCGCTAACATTAATAAGTCAGAGACCAATAAAGCATTTGCTAAACCAATAATCAATACAAGGTCTGTGATGTCTGTGCGAACAGTGTTTTTTGTCTCCACACACTTCCCTAAGAGTAAAGCCATCGACGACTTACGTTTGCAAAGGATTCGTGTATTGGCACCGAAATTGTTACAAATATTATCTCCTTTGATGACTATGTTTGTGAAATACATATCCGACCATTTTGTGCGACAAAAACATTTACTTATCTTATTAGAGCATCACTTGTTCCCTTTTCCATTCGCTCTCTCTCTCTCTCTCTCCGGTTGTGTGCGGTTTAAAGTAGAGAACGAGAATCACAAATTGAATGTTTGTCCGATCTTTTCATTAAATGTAATATTATTGGCGGTGCGCCGACACTCATAGCACTCTTTCCATTCGCTTCCATTCGCTCTCTCTCTCTCTCTCTTTCCCCTCTCTCTCTCTCTCTCTCTCTCTCTCTCTCTCTCCTTATCAGTTATACATATGAAAAGGCAGTCTCTGAACAGAGCCAACTGTGCGAATAGTGTTGATCCCTTCGGCCGATATTTCTTAGTTCATTACATGCGAAGACAGATCACTTGTTAGTCGACTAACTATATTCAGTGTCCAGATTAGAGCTAATAATAAATCAAGTCAAGTGACACCAACTACTCTATCACATCGGTGTATTGTAGGGCCGGTGCCTCATGTGCTCGCATTAGCATTATATACACCAGTGATACCAATGATAACATACACTCTATTACCAGAACTTATACATTAAACCACAATAATAACGATATATTGTTCACAAATGAGTCAAACACTGTCTCTCGCTATGAAAATCAAATAATGATTGCATGTATTGTATATATTGTGTATTATATCGTAAAGACTGATATATAGTATAAACAAGTCATCACTTTCTGATGACAAC